GCAGGTCCGGGCCTCGGAGTGGCAGTCTAGCGGGCCGCTGCCCGTCGCCACGTCATGATGCTCGACTAGTGGAGCCCGTGGCTCCAGAGTCGAGGGCTGCCCGCCCCGGCGACGTCGCGCGGGGCATCGGGCTGCTCGACGTCACCCTCGTTGCCTGCGCTCAGTACCTTTTACGATACAAAGGCCCCATGTTCCTGGGAATCCGAGTCCCCTGTTGGCGCCTAGTTTCGCTGGCCCCAAACCCGCGGCCAGCTAGGCCCTGCTGGGGCCGTTGTTGCTCGCTTTCGCTATGTCGAGCTGGTCGAGATGCGCGCGCCCATGCCTGTCGAAGTGCCCCAGGCCCTGGCCGTGGCTGTTCGGGCGCAGGGATGGGGCAGGACGGCAGCGTGCCTGCTCCTCGTCTCTCACTCGCTGCTGCGGCCCAGCGAGGTCGCAAATGCTTTCGGGCAGCACTTCGTTATGCCTGGGACCTGGGGGGCGATATCAACAGACGCTTGCTCGCGCTGTTTCTGTGAGGCCTAAATTTCCAGGGCGTCCCGATCGACGATCTTGCGCTGCTGAACATGGCGAGGCGCGTCTTCTTTGGCCCTTGTTTCCCGACGTCAGCGTTGTTCCCAGGCCAGCTGCGTGGGCTGACCCAGAGGTTCATCTGCCTCAGGGGCCTCGTCAGCACTGGCGACTCGCCGCGCGCCCTCGGGTCGATGCTTGGAATGCGGGGCCATCCATCGCTTCCACTCGTGTCAAAACCTGGGGCTGCTGCAGTGTCGTGGGCGCTGGGAGAAGTCAGAATCAATGCGTCGCTTTCTTCAGATTGGCGCGGCCGCCCTGTCCTTCGCCCGCGTCGCGTCCGACGGCCGTCAGCGCGTCCGACAGCTTGCTGAACTCGCTCCAGATGCGCGGGTCGGCCGGTGATTGTGTCACCAGCGCGCCCGAAAAGCCAGGCGCGTATCAAAAGCGCGGCAATGACGGTGAGGTTGGAACAGGTTGAGAGAGAGCTTTCTGTCTATAGGGTTCCGTGCGGCCGCGCGGCAGAGAAAGCCGCAGCGCCCCGATGCTCCCGGAGAAGGAACGCCGAGATCATGTGAACACATCGGTTTTGATGGTGGAAGGAAGTGAACTGCAGCTTTCTCGCCCTCCCCCCCCCACCCTTGCGAACAGCTCTTAGCGGGTTGAAAACTTGCTGTTTTTGGGGCTCTTTAAGGCTGCGCGTCAGAGACAACGCCGCTGCGCCCCGACGCCCCTGGCCGCCCCTTGGCGAGCGAAAATACGGTTGGTTCCCCTTCCGGTGCACCTTGCGTTTCTTGAAATAAAGTGCCCCCCCGGGGCTCGCATCTGGTTTTTAAGGGGGAAGTCTTGGTGCTTAAATTGTGATGTTGGCTGTGGTTTGCAACGACAGCGGGTGCCGCTGGGTGCCGCTTTATTATTTGTTTCAAACTCGCGCTCTCGCACGGGGCTTCTTCATATTTGATGCAGGAATCGCGCTTTCGCGTGGTACATCCTCACAGTTTATTGCGGCGCCGTGCCTCCGAGATTCAGGAATCACGCCTAGGCCTGGGATGTCCCGAGGATTTATCTGGAATCGCGCCATCTGTTGGAATTTCCTTACGATGTATGTTGGATTGCCGCTTCAGCGACCCGCCCACTCGACCCAGCTGTCGTGGCCCGCCCGCCCGGCCTGCCTGTTAGAATCCGCCTAGACCTGCCTGTTTGGTTCTGCCGCTTGTACTCCTGCTCCTAACGTTTCTCCTGCAAATCTCTCTCGTACTCCATCCTTCTCCCTCCCCTTGGTCCCTGCCCTCCTCCCTGCCTTCCCCTGTTTTAGGGGCTGCACCAACTACGCGTGGCAGGTGGGGAAAAGATACCCCCAGGTGGGGTACGATGGACAACCAAGAAGGCTGGTATCGAGGGCTTGGGATATACGTGCTGAGTGGCTCACGGGCGCAAGTGAACCGTCCTAATATCAGTGTTGGTGATGATGATGATGAGGTTGAACACTCATTGCAAACGAAAGAGTATTATTGCTCTCCCCTCCAGTGCACCTTGTGTTTTTCAGTCGAAGTGCCCCTGCTGGGAGTCGCACCTTTCTAAACAAGGGATGAGCTTGCGCCTCAGGCTGCACCCGTGGCCCCCGAGCTACAACAACAATGGCTCCCGTCGGATACTTCCGCACAGTTTATTCAAAATTGCGCTGTCGCGGGGTATTCTTCACGATTTGTGCAGGAATCGCGCTCTCGCGCGAGACTTCTCGCGACTGCTTGGGACGCCGCACCGTCGACACTCAGGCATCACTTCCGCTCTGGATTTCACTACGCGCCATCGCTCGAGACGAGAGTTCGTCGCGATTCATGTAGAACCGACGGTTCAGCTGCCCGCTCGCACGACCCGACCGTCTGGCCCGGCCGCCCGACCCGCCCGTTTGGGTCCGCCCGCCCGACCCGCCGGTCTGGTTCAGCCCGTTGTTTTCTTGCTCCTAACGCCACTTTAACAAATCTCTCTCGTGCTCCATCCGTCTCCTTTCCCCTGTGTCTCTTCCTTCCTCATTCCGTTCCCTTGTTGTGGTGGCTGTGCCAACAAAGCGTGGCAGGTAATGGATACATGCTCCCCAGCGGGGGTACGACCGAAGACGCAGAGGGCGTGTATCGATGGTTTGGTATATTCTGTTGAGTGATACGCAGGCGGATACGATCGAACCGTCTTCAACAGATGGTTGTGAGTGACGATGATGAGGAGGATGGGCAGGAGGTGGAGGAGGAGGAGGCGGAGGAGGAGGAGGAGGACGAGGAGGAGGAGGAGGACGAGGAGGGGGAGGAGGAGGAAGATGATGATGAGGAGAAAGAGAAGGAGGAGGAGGAGGAGGAGGAGGAGGAGGAGGAGGAAAAGGAGGAGGACGACGAGGAGGAGGAATAATAATAATCCGAAAGGCAAGAATAGTAATATTATCAGTGTGGTCATAAGAAGAAGTATCACAATAAGAAGAGGATAGCTACGTAAGCATAAGACGAATAAGACGAATAAAAACAGTTTTTGTAGGAATAATCGTGTTATTACTAAGAATAGCAATTATAATAATACTACTATTTCGATGAATACGAAACATAATAACAATGTTCATGATCAGAAAACCAGACGAACAATAATCAGGAAGCTAGCAGTAATGATGAGCAAGGCGAATCTGAAACATTATATTCGTACGAACAGCGATAGTAATGCCAATGCTACGAAGGTCGTTCACAACAGTACTGGTCATGGTATTAATGACAAGCACATAATTGCAATACTAGCACTGCTATCACTACCACTACCACTACTACTACTACCACTACTACTACTACTACTACTACTACTACTACTACTACTACTACTACTTCCACGACTACTTCTACTTCTACTACTTCAACGAATACATCTAGTATCACATCATAATATTACGACCAAGCCACTAATAATAGTAGTAATCGTAATTCTAGTGCTGGTACTAGTAATAGGAATACTCATAATCATACTACTACTTCGAGTGGGGATGCTACTACTGCTACTACTACAACAACTACTACTACTACTACTACGACTACTGCTACTACTACTACTACTACGACGACTACTACTACTAGTACTACTACTACTCCTACTACTACTACTACTACTACTACTACTACTACTACTACTACTACTACTGGTACTACTACTACCACCACCACCACCACTACTACTACTACTACTACCACTACTACTACTACTACTACTACTACTACTACTACTACTACTACTCCCACTACTACTACTACTACTACTACTATTACTAAGTACCGCTTCTACCGCCACTACTACTACTACTACTACTACTACTACTACTACTACTACTACTACTACGACTACTACTACTACTACTTCTACTACTACTACTACTACTACTACTACTACTACTACTACTACTATTTCTACTACTACTACTACTACTACTACTACTACTACTACTACTACTACTACTACTACTACTACTTATATAATTACTAAGAATACCTCGGATCATGATTATGCGAGTGCTAACAATTTTAATAGTAGTTCTAGTGTTCGAGTAATTCGAATACTAGTAATATGATTGATAATCGATAAAAAGCAATGACTATATTTGTACTAATACAAAAAAGAATGGAACTAATATTATCCGAGTATGAATTCCCTAATCAGAGCTTGCCCCTGTAGGGTTCCTAGCGGATTCGTATGCTTAGGTTAGGTTTGTCGCCGATTTTCGCTGCACGCCCGGGTGCCCGGGTGCCCGGGGGTGCCCGGGGCCCAGGTGCCCGGGGGGTGCCCGGGGGTGCCCGGGTGCCCGGGTGCTTGCGTGCCCGGGTGCCCTGGCGTGCCCGGGGGTGCCGGGGGTGCCCTGGGGTGCCCTATAGCCCTATAGCCCTAAGCCCTATAGCCTTACAGCTCTATAGCCCTATAGCTCAATAGCCCTATAGCCCTATAGCCCCCTAGCCCTATAGCCCTGATTGTTTTTTTCTCCGCTATCATATTTATACGACTAACAAACTGACAATAGTACTGATACGAATGATGATACTAATACTAACGATAATGAGCAGAAACCTAACAATAAGAGGAGGGAGAGGAGGAGGAGGAGGAGGAAGAGGAGAGGAGGAGGAGAGGAGGAGGAGGAGGAGGAGGAGGGGAGGAGGAGGAGGAGGAGGAGGAGGAGGAGGAGGAGGAGGAGGAGGAGGAGGAGGAGGAGCAGGGGGAGGAGGAGGATGAGGATGAGGAGGAGGAGGAGAGGAGGAGGAGGAGGAGGAGGAGAGGAGGAGTGGAGGAGGAGGCGGAGGAGAGGAGGACGAAGAGGAGGAGCAGATGAGGAGAGGGAGGAAGAGGAGGAGGAGGAGGAAGAGGAGGAGGATCAAAGGAAGAGGGGAAGGACATTATAACGGATATGGAGGAGAAGGAGAAGCAGGAGGAGGTGAAAGAGGTGGAGAAGATGAGTAGAAAACATGGCGTCCGTCCCGCAGGACATTTCGACGAGGCCACCTTGGCGCAAAAACGCGATACGATGCTTCAGCGTCTGCTGGCCGGCAGGGCGAAGAAGAGCGACAAGAAGAAAAAGAAGGAAAAGAAGGTGACATCCCCTACCTCCTCAAAGTCCTCCCTCTCCCCTTCTCCCCTCCTCCCGCTCCCCCCTCCCTCCTCCTCCCCTCCCCTCATCCTGCTCCCTCCCCCTTCTCCCCCTCCTACCCCTCCTTCCCCTCCTCCCCTTCCTCACCCTCCTCCCTCCCCTTTCCCCCTCACCCTCCTCCCTTCGCCGCGCCCTCACCCTCGCCAGCCCCCTCGTCATCCTCATCATCACTCTCGTCTTCCCCTCTCACGCCTCCCCCTTGTCTTCCTCCCTTTTCCCTCCTTTTCTTCCTCCGTCTCCTCCTTCCCCTCCTCGTCCTTTTCCTTCTCCTCTTCTTCCTCCTCCTCCTTCTCGTCCTCCTCCTCGTCCTCCTCCTCGTCCTCCTCCTCCTCCTCCTCCTCCCCCTCCCTCTGCCAGCTTCTGGTGCTGCGATGCCCCTGAGTGCGAAGTTCGGCTCACAACAGCAAAAGCGCGTCAAACGATTGAGGGCAGCTCGATATACAGGGACGGGTCGCCCTGCCCACTGCCCAGTTTCTTGGACCCTTCCTTGCCATCAGGAGTTTCAGCGTCCTCCGAATGTCCCTCATTTTTTTTGTATTCGAATATATCGGATGTAATTATTGTCTGGTGGGTACTTCATAACATGCGTATGCATATCTGCCTGCCTGTGACACTAGGTAAACACATAAACGTATATATGCATATGCACGTACACATACGTAGGTTAGTCAGCGTGGACCCCCAACCAGCGTGTTTCTAACACTATACGTTGTGCAACCCGCGTTGCGCAATCTATGTGGTGCAACCTGTGTGGTACACTCTAGATTATGCAATCAGCGTCGGGCAGCATATCTGGTGCAGCCTAAGATGTGCAGTCCATTTTGGAGAGTCTATGTCGTACAATCTATACAGTGCAACCTATGAGGAACAATCTATGTGGTACAATCCATGTTGAGCAATTGGGGTGGGACACCCGATGCTGTGCACGTTATGTGGTGCGCTCTGCGCGGTGTGATTTATGTTGTGTAAGCTAGGTGGTGCAATCTGACCACGCTATTCTGTGCAATATGTGTTGTGTAATGTAATACATGTGGGGAAACAGTTGTAGAACACTCGACGTGGTGCAACATATGTGATACAATAGTTGCTGTGCAAACGATGTGAAACATCCATGTTTTGCAACCGATGTGGTGCAATATATCTCGTACAGTTTTGGTGATGCAGCCTATGTTGTGCAAGCCATGTAGAGCAATCTATGCTGTGCAACCTTTGTGGTGAAATCTAGGTGGCGCGCCAGACAAGCAGACAGGCCCAAACGACGGGCGGCGAACTCTATGTGGTGCAACTTCTTTAAAGAAACGAGTTGACACATCCCACACTGTTGCAATCATCCCACCCACCCACCCGCAACTTGGTTTGTAAAACCCATGCGTTGGCGATTGCGATGTATGTTCGGCGTTGGTTGGTGCATCTCTGCGGCCGTGCCAACCCAAGCACGCGCGCGCAGCGGCCAGTTAGTTTGGCTCGACCGACGCGGCCGCGGTGGCGTTGACCGCTGGGCACGTCCCAGCGGGCACTTCACTTCGAGTCGGCGACTTGTGTGGGCGCGGTATCATGGCAACGTCGACAACGGTATACACGATGATAGTAGCGATGCTGGTGACGATGTTGACAACGACGGAGGCGCGGCCAGTGCGGTCGCCGATGCTGATCACGCCGACGACGATGACGGTGTCCTCGCGTTTGTGATGAAGGCGACATGCGCGCGCGGCCGACGCGCGAGAGCGGGCCGCATGGCATTATTTGAGACGGATCGTGCCCCCCCCCAGCGCGCGCGCAAGCGGCGTGTGAATGATGCCTGCTTGCGGCGCGGGAGGCCCATTTGGCAGAATTCCATGAACACGTTGAACCACTCATGTTTTGCTTCGCAAGAGCGCGAGTTCACGCTTTTTTGACACCCGATTTTCGAAACCAATTGTTTTTTTGCATGTTTTTTCCGGGACAGTCGCCTTTGAAATCGTCACGAAACCGAAAGGTTTTTGACGAATTTCGGCATGCGCGCGACGACGCGCGCACGTGTACTTCGTTCCTTATTTTGCAGGGGATCTTTGAACACGCAAGATTGTTGATAAACGAGTGTGCGCGCATGGTATTTTTTGCAGACGGTGGCGGGTGGGGACCGATACTGGCCCCCCTGGGATGGTGTAGATTTATATCTGGGATGGACGATGGGGCAGAATCATACGTAAATTGCAATACGAGAAAAGGAGAGAGTCTTTTTCAGAAAAGAGAAACAGTGTTGTGCAATCTATGTTTTACGTGGTGCAAAATATGTTATGCAACTTATGTGGCGCAGTCTAGGCGGCGACGGGGTGGCGGCGGCGACCACGTAGCCGCCAGACGGGTACCCAGGACCAGGCGACGGGTGGCGACGGCGGCAACATAGCCTCAGACCGTTAGGCAAGACCAGACGACGGGCGACGACGAGGCGGCAACGGGGTGGCGACGGAGGCAACATGGCGGCCAGACCGGCAGAGAAACCCGCATGACAGGTGGCGACGAGGCGGCGACGGGGCGGCGACGGCGGTTACATAGCCGCCAGAGCGGCAGACACACCCAGTTCTTGTGAAAAGAGGTAAGACACCCGAACTGCAAACTGCGTTGTGGAAATTAATATTATAGACATCCATCAACGTATATGGCAGCCAGCGTGAGCCTCCAACGGTGTGTTTTTAGCAATACATGTTGTACAATCGATGTGGGGGCATCTTTGTGGTGCAATCTACGTGGTGCAAGCTTTGTCGTGCAACCTACGTTGTGCAACATCTGTTGTGCAACGCACACATAGACACATAGCAAGTTATGTGGTGTAATATATTTCGCATGTTCTACGTTGTGCAACCTATATTTTTTTATATATATATATATATATACACGCATTGTGCAATCTATGGTGTGCTCAATATGTTGTGCAATTTATGTGGTGCAATCTGGGCGGCGACGGAACGACGACGTCGACCACGGAGCCGCCAGACCAGCACCCAGTCCCAGGCGACGGGCGGCGAAATCTATGTGCTGCAATCTATGTGCTGGAATCTAGGTTACGCAAATGATGTTGTGCAAAATAGGTTGTGCAATTTACGTGGCTTAATCTAGGCTGTGACGGGGCGGCGACGGCGACCACGGAGCCGCCAGAGTGGCACTCAGGCCCAGGCGACGGGCGGCGACGAGGCGGCGATGGGGCGGCGACGGCGATTATAGAGCCGCCAGACCAGCACCCAGACCCAGACGACGGGCGACGACGAGGCGGCGACGTGGCGGCGACAGCGGCTACATAGCTGGCAGCAGACAGGCCCAATTCCTGTGAAAAAATGTATTTCAGAACCCCTAAGTGCAAACACAGTTTTGGGAGTATATGTCTGTATGTATTCATGCATGTATGCATGTATGTATGTATGCATGTATGTATGTGTGTATGTATGTAATGTATGTATGTATGTCTGTCTGTCTGTCTGTCTGTCTGTCTGTCTGTCTGCCTGCCTGTCTGTATGCATGCATGCATGCATGCATGCATGCATGCATGTATGTATGTATGTATGTATGTATGTATGTATGTATGTATGTATGTATGTATGTGTGTGTGTATTTGCATGTGCGTATGTATGTGTGCATCTATGCATGCAGTCATGCAGTCATGCATGTATGTATGTATGCTCATAGATGTTAGCAATCCCCTATTGTATGTACGCCTCCATGACTGCACATAGACACATATATGTGTGTGCATGTATATATATATACACATCCTACATAGCGATGGGTGGGTCCCAGCGGACCCTGGGCCAGAAGCGCTACCACAAATGTGGGTGCTGGGGTCCTCGCCCACTCCATGGGGGCTCAAGAACAACGCCCAGATCGATCAGACCGCCGTCAAGGCGATTCAATAGAGCCCCGAGTCGCTCCGGAAGCGGCTTGGAGGGCGCGCAGACGGCTCAGGAGGCGTGTCAAACAGCCCAAAAGGCCTCCAAGAGGCCGAAGAGCGCTCCAAGAGGCCGTATGTACGCACGTACGTACGTACGTACGTACGTACGCCGCCGCCCCCCCTTTGCACTGCACCTGGGGTCTGGGAGTCCCCCAGGCACTCCCTCCACAGGCGCCCGGCTTGTTGGGCATGCAGCCGCCGCCGTCTGTGCCGTATTTTGGCCCGGCCAGTTTCATCAGTTGGAACGTCAGGGCCCTCTTTTGCCTCGGCGTGGTCCGCATGCACCGCAAGCTGGACTACCTCTGCCGCCTGGCCTCCGCCGCCGACGTCGTCATGATCCAAGAGGCCCACAGCAACTTGGAGAAGGCCGCCATCCTGGACGCCCGCTTGCACGACTCACACGATTGCTTTTGGTACAACTCCGATGATGGTTCCACCTTGGGGGGCGTGGGCTTCGTCGTCTGAAAGTCCTTCCTGCTGCTCTTCGACGCCTACCACTACCGGGGTGTGGTTCCGGCGAGGGCGGCGATGCTCTCTCTCCGTGGTCCGCAAGGCGGGCTCGACGTCCTCAACGTTCACATCGATCCGATGCTCAGCCCTGCTGGTGTGCGGCAAGTCTTGTCCCTTGCTTCCTCTGCTCTCGCTGTTGGTCCCCGCTCTCACGCTGTGCTTTGCGGCGACTTCAATTTTGACAGCCACGTGCGTGATCGGCTCAACTGTTTGGACGGGCAGTTCTGTGGACGCCCCGGCGCCCAGCAGGCCGCCTTCGAGGAGCTGTTCCCGACCCTCGCGGAGTTCGGCATCGATGGCTTCACCCACAGGAACAGCGACGCGGTCTCGTCGTTCAGCCGCCTCGACCTGGCCTACTCCTCGCTCCACCCGACGCTCTGCATGGACATGACTTTTAACGCCTCGGTCTTCCAGGCAATCTCGTCCCCCAACTTCGACCTGTCCGACCACGTGCCCATTGTGCTCTCCTTCCGTGCCAAGACCGTCGACTCCAGGCAACGGCCGATTCCCTTGTGGATCACCCGTCACCCGACCTGGCCGATCGAGGTGGACAAGGCCCTCTGCTCCTTAGCCGACAGCCCGGCCCTGGACCCCAACTTCGGATGCGCTCGGTCAAGATCGCCATGCGGCTCGCCGCTCATGAAGTCAAAGAGCTTGCAGCCCACCACCGCGCTCGCACGTCCGACGAGGAGCTCTGGTGGCTAGTTCGTGCACTCCGTGCCATCCGCGCCGACAACCCCGAGGTCCTGGACAAGTGCTGCAAGGTCGTTGAATCCATCACCACCCTCCTGGACACCGAGCCTGCTGACCTGACCCTCTTGTTGGACCACGTTGCCCAGTTGTCGCGTCGGACTGCCGAGGAGCGCCTACGGGATGTTGGAGCTGCCCGTGACCTGCCAGAGTACGCCCGTCGTCAACAAACTGCCCGCCTCGCTCGGCTTGTTCGCACTTGGGCCCCTATCCGACGAACGTTAAGTCTTCGGGGCGTTCGAGACAGCGACGGCCAGTTTGTCCACGACGAGGACGAAGTCTTCCTGGCTGTCGCCGAGCACTGGCAGCCGGTATTTGCCGAGAAGCAGATCGATGCCGCGGCGGCGACCACCTTCATCGACCTCTGGGCCAGACGCTTCCCGACCATCGCGTGGGCCCTCACCTTCGACGACTTCTGTGACATGATACGACGGACGAGCGACAGCGGCTGTGGGCCCGACGGCATCCCCTACTCCGCTTGGAAGTTTGCCTCCTCGCCGGTTCAGCGGATGGTCTACGACTGGTCTTGGCCTGGCTTGGCTGCCACAAGCTCTCGGACGATGCCAACTTCGCCTTGCTTGCCTTCATCCCCAAGCAGGCTGAACCCACGGACCACACCATGGGCATGTACCGCCACCCGAAGAACTTGAGGCCGTTGTCTTTGTCGAACACCGACGTGAAGCTCCTCGCACTGTCCCTGAACGCCGTTGTCTCGCCGGCACTCCCTGCGTGGGCGCGCCCTGAGCAGCGAGGCTTCATCAACGACCGCATGATCATCCAGAACGTCCTGGACGTCGAGGCCAATGCCATTGCGGCGGCCCTCAGGACCTCCCTCGCCCCCGGCCCGCTCAGCTTCGCCCCCGGAACAACCCCGCGGCGGTGTTCTACGACTTCGGAGCGGCCTTCCCGTCGTTGGCCTAGCGTCCCTCTGGATCCTCCTCCTCCTCGCCATCGGCTTCCCCGCGGGCTCGTTTCGGCCATGCAGGAATTGTACCGGGACAACGACCACTTCTGGTACTTCAAGGGCATCGAGCGGTTCTTCTTCACCGCCCGCTCTGGCATCAATCAAGGCTGCCCCTTCAGCGCGGCCCTCTTTGTCCTCGCCATGGACCCCTTCGTTGCGGCCTTGTCGGGTGCCGTCGGCCCCCGCGGCTACCTCCGGGTGTACGCCGACGACATCGCGATCGTCATGTGGCAGCTTGTCGCGCAGGCCCCGATGATTGACCGGCTGTTCCGCCTCTTGCCGCCATCGCCGCCGTGCAGATCAGACGCGACGAATGTGTCATCGTGCCGCTTTGGAACCGCAATCTCGTACGAGTTCGCACCGTGGTCATGGAGAGGGTCGCCTTCTGGTCGTCCTTAACCATCTCCTTGGCTGCCAAGTATTTCGGCTTTTCTATAGGTCCTGACTCCCGCCGGCTCGAATGGCCCACGGCGATTGCCAAGTTCTGGTCACGGGCGACCGACCTCCTGCGGGTCACGGAGGGCCTCCCCGCCACGATGACCCTGCACAACACTCAGGGGTGCCCCATCCTTTACTACCAGGTACGGCACATGCCGCAGGCCCTCTTCCAGCTCCAGGACGACATGGTCGAGCTCCTCACTCGTGGCCCTCGTTGCTGGGTGCCGGTCGAGGCCGCCTACTCCTTCGACTCGCTATTCCGGTGCGCCAACCGCCTTATGCGGCTCCGCTACATGATTTGGCCATCAAGTCCCACACCAGGGCCTCCCCGAAGATTGACAGGCGTCTTCGCCATGATCTTCAGGCACTCCGTTGGCACGACGATCAATCTCTGTGGCCTTGGGCTAGAGATTGGCATGGACGGTCCGCGGTACAGGTTCTCCACGACGCCCATGCTCAGACGATGCAGGCCCTGCCCTCCCTCACCGGCAGCGATCACTTGGGCCTCACTCTACAGCCCTCCACGATCTCCTCCGTGCCGCCGACGGGTCTCCGGTTCTTGAACATTTACTCTGGCGGCGTTGGTCTTCCCCTTGGGCCGCCTACTTCAGGCAAGGGGTGCCCATCGGAATCGCTGTGAGGCGGGCGTACTGGTGCGTTTCCAAGCATGCCCCCTTTAGTCCCGCCTTTCCTTAGGTTTGTTGTCGCTTCCACGTGGCTGAATGGCTGGTGCACGGCGCACGTCTTTCAGGGTCGTGCCAGTTGCCTTTTTTGCCGTGGACCCTCGGACTCGCTGGAACACCTGGCCAGATGCCGAGTGGTCAAAGCCCTTCTCGGTCACTGCCTCGGTGCGGCCCACCGGGACTTTCTTGACTTCCTGGGGCTTCACACCGATTTCGGGGTCTTCGCACGGCAGGCGCTCGGACGCCATGCGACCAAGGCGGTTGTAGAGGCCACCCGGCTCAATCCGGGCATTGCTGCTCGGTATTCCGCCCCTGCACGTGTCCGGGCCGACTTGCAGGAATCTGCTTGCAAATGGCCCGATGCGGCGAAACGCCTCCGTACGCTGGCCGTTCCAGGTCAGTAGCTACCGACAGTGTCTGGCCGCCGACAGTTTAACATTCTCAGGGTGTAAGTGTCCAGCTTGTAGGGCGGGGATGATGCAACATAATGTGTAGTGGCTGTAAGTGAGGAATAAAACGCCTCTCACATGCAACCGCTTCTCCCGCCAGTGCTTCCCGCGCACGCCTCTTAGCCTAGCAGCCTGTGGTGTACTGTTGCAGTAGCGTCATGCATTGGCCTCGTGGGAGGCCTTTTTGTGGCGGGAAGTGGTACAATTTCGTAGGAATTGTACAATTTTTAGACCCCCCTGCTTGCGTAAACAGGGGGGGGTCTAAAATTCCACTGCCGGACTTATCTTTCTAGCCCCCCTTGTGGCCCCTTCTATGCTGAGTATGATCTCGGCGGCGGATTGGGTGACGTTTCGTCTCGCCGTTCGAAGACAATCAGCATCCAATGATGACTGATACGACCCGCCTGTCGAGGTCCCAGCGCGCCCCCTCCCAACATGTATGTATGTATGTATGTATGTATGTATGTATGTATGTACGTATGTATGTGTGTGTATGTATGTGTGTATTTGCATGTGCGTATGTATGTATGCACATATGCATGCAGTCATGCAGTCATGCATGCATGTATGTATGCTCATATTTTTTAGCAATCCCCTATTGTATGTACGCCTCCATGACTGCACATCGACACACATGTGTGTATGAAATGTATATATATATATATGTATATGTATATGTATGTATGTGTATATATATATATATATATATATATACACACATCCTACATAGCGGTGGGCGGGTCCCAGCGGACCCTGGGCCAGAAGCGCTACCACAAATGTGGGTGCTGGGGTCCTCGCCCACTCCATGGGGGTTCAAGAACAACGCCCAGATCGATCAGACCGCCGTCAAGGCGATTCAATAGAGCCCCGAGTCGCTCCGGAAGCGGCTTGGAGGGCGCGCAGGCGGCTCAGGAGGCGTGTCAAACAGCCCGAAAGGCCTCCAAGAGGCCGAAGAGCGCTCCAAGAGGACCTGCTGAAGGGACCTGAGCGGCACACATATCGTGTTCGCCCGAATGTAGATTGTTGGCATATTTGCTTTCCCTCCCTGAACACCGTCGCAGACTCTCCATCGCCCTAACAGGGCCCAAAAAGCCCCCAAGACCGGCCAAGAGGGCCCCAATACGTCCCAAGACGCCCCGCAGAAGGCCCACGAGGGCTCCAAGAGAGCTCCAAGAGGGGCCCAAGAGAGGGATTCCGAGCTGACATTGCGAGTCCTCTGCCTCAAGATGACCCCCGAGGTCCCAGGCCCCCAAGACGCCCCCAAGAGAACCAAGAGGCTCTCAGTAGGTCCAGAGGGGAGCCCAAAAAGGACCCCCAGAGGGCCCAAATGCTTCAACACTTCCTCCAAGACGCCCCCGAGAGGGGTTTTGGGTCCCCTCTGGAGCCGCCCCGAGGCGCCCCCAAGCTGCCACCCCGACACCCTCGCTCCCTCGCGCCCGCAAGCAAGACCCACGCGCGCCTCGCAAAGAAGCCTCTGACCTACAAGATCCCGACGGCCCGAGCCTGCTTGTCCATGGCGACTCTTGGCCTGGACGCAGCGTGGGAACCTCCAAGTGCCGATGCCTGACTGCGGGGTTCAGTTTACAGGTTTCGTTTTTTCTTGTCGTTATTTGTGGAATCTCAAGCAATCTGGCGGCCGAAAAAGAAGCTACACGAGGGAGGGGAGGAGACACCACGGGATCGGTCCCATGACTATTCACACCGTCTTCGGAGTCAACGAGAGCCTACAGCCGATCATAATCTAAGCGCGCGTAGTGCGCGCGTGGTTCTCGGATGTTCTCGGGCCCTCGGCCAGGGGCCTCGAACCCACCATCGTGGTCTCAGAGTTTTCGTAAGCCTCCTTGAGTGCTCGCCCAGCTGTCACACGGATTTCGCATGATACACCAGGAGCTCCAAGGGGGCCTTCAGTTAGCTCCAGGCCGCCCGAGCCAGCGTTCAGAAAGCACAATATAGCTCCAAGACAGCCTCGGAGATCCCCAAGACGCCGTGGGAGAGCTGCCAGAAGGCTCCCGAGCGGGTTCCGTGATGTAGCAATGATTTTTCCATTGAAAAACAACCCAACCAGTCTGTCGGTTTCCTGGGAGTCTCAGACAGCCCAGGAGGCTGAGAAGAGGTACCCAAGAGGCTCCAACCATGACCAGGGACGCCCTTTGAAAAGATTTGAAGAGGCCTCAAGGTACCCCCGATACGCCTGCCAGACGCTCCCAAGAAGCTCTCAAGAGGCCCCCAAGAATTTCCCAAGATGCCCCATTAGGTCCCCAAGACGCCGTAACACGCCCCACAAGGCCGCCAAGAAGCCCCCAGAGGCCCCGGAACGCTTTGAAGGAATTGGCACAATGTTTAATGTTTAAGAGGGCCGCGAACTTACATCAATGTCCATGAAGATTTCCAAGGACTCCCTCATTCTTGCTTTCTCGGTACTCTCAAAGCCCCCGACGGCCCAACAGGCCCCAAGACTGCTGCAGCACATCCCTGCAAGACTCTCGGAGGCCACTCTCACAGCCCAAGGGTCCCCCCAGAGGGCTCAATACCGGGCCCCCGGGAGGCTCCAGAAGGAAGCCGACGCCTCCGAGAGGGGCTCCAGAAGCATCCCCGCGCCTACATTTCCAGCCCATCACCCATGTGCGGGCCCCCAGTGCTCTCCAAGACGCCCCAGGGGTCCCGAAGACGCTCCCGCGACGCCTGAGGAGACTCCCAAGACACGTCCAAGCAAGCCTCCACGATCCCCGACAGGCCTCCCGAGAGAACCGCAGACATCTCCGAGAGCGGCACCGCACCCACGATCCACCGACGACGGCTCCACCGTCTTTGCCCGTCTCCGAGCAGCCGACGCTCCAAGCTGGCCCACGAGAGCCAGAGCACCTCCCCACGACGGACCTGGACGCCTCCCCCGCCGTTCCTACAACAGGCCCCCCCTCCTCCGTAGTTGCCCGTGGGCCTCCCATGGGCACTCGGAGCGGTGCACCATACAACCGGGTCTGAAAAAGGCTCCCCGGTGTTCGGACACGCTCCTGCCAACACGCTCCAGTGTCCTGCCCGGGTGCCCCCCCCCCTTGACACCGTAGACGTACATACGGACGCGGATGCAGCCTTTGCAGCGTTGACATGCGGCTGATTTTGCAGACCCGCTGCTCATACGAGCGAGAACGAGAGATGCATAATGCGTCCCAGTTGTGACCATCTAAGCGCGCGCGCGCGAAGCGCGCCTGGTGTTAGCGTGTGAGGGTGTTCGGTGTTTTGGTGTTACGTTGCTAGAGTGTTCGGAAAGTAGGATCTTAGGGTGTTCGGGTTGTTGGGGTGTGAGGGTGTTCGGGTGCCATGGTGTTGGGTACAGAGGGTGTTTTGATCTTAGGGTCTTAGGGTATGAGCGTGTTATGGTGTTGAGTCTCCTCATGGTGTTATTGTCCTAGTGTCTTAGGGTGTCGTCGGGTGTTCGGGTGTTTGGGTGTTTGGGTATTCGGGTGCTCGGTTGTTTGGGCTTTAATTTGGGTCTTAGGGTGTTCGGGAGTTAAGTTCTTGAGGTTTTGGGCTTTTCGGATATTCGAGTGTTGGGGTACTGGCGTGTTAGGGTGCTGGGGCCTCAGGGTGTTAGGGTGTTGGGATGTTGCGGTGTGAGGGTATTGGGCTATTCGGGTGTCAGGATGTTGCAAAGGCGAGGGAAACCAACAAAGTACTTGCGCGTTCGCAACTCTGATCGTTGCTCGGGCAAAGCCTCCTCCTCACGCCCACGCTGCTGCTGCTACCACCACTCATTATCCTCCTCTTCGTCCTCCGGCTCTTCCTCGCGATGTTCCTCCCACTCTTCCTCCTCCCCTCATTCTCATGCTCCTCACCCGCCTGCCGAAACGGCTCTGTCGAAGACGACTTCTCGAAGGGGCGTTCTGCCAAAGCGGTTCTGCCGAAACGGCGCTGCCGAAGAGGGCCTGTCGAAGCGGCACTTCCAAAGAGGCCCGCCGAAACGTCGAATGCCGAAACGGACCTGTGCCGAATCGAGTCTGCCGACGCGGACTGCCGAAGAGAATTTGCCGAAGCGGGTCTGCCAAAGCAGTTTGCCGAAGAATGCTCGTGCTTTTCTTCACCTAATGTTCAAACCATTCAGGGGTAACTACTTCAGTGGAGCTGTGAGCTTATCAAGAGCTGGGGCTTGGTAGAACCTACGCGCGCGAAGCGTGCGCGGGTTTCTAGTCGTTTCTGTTTTTTTCCTCTGTCTCTCCCTTCCTTCCCCTGTCTCTTTCTGTCTCTTTCAGTCGCCCTCCTTTTCTCCGTTCCCTCCTCCATGTATCCATCCATCCCTCTCCTTCCTTCCCTCCCATCTCCCGCCTGCTGGTTTTCCTCCTCCGAATTGAAGTGCTTGGCTGACCGTTAGGGCCTCCAGGGATTTACGCGAAGACGCGTCATTTGCTGTGCAACATACCTTGCCGCGGACCTCAGCGGGGGATCGATTAGCTTACGCCGCTCCGAGGTGTGCGCTCGGTAATTCTGACCTCCCTTGGTCTCGTGTCGCTGTGCTTGCCGCGCGGCGATGCGTTACGCATTCGCGCTTTCATCTGTCTATCTATCTCTCTGCCTGTCTGTTCTGTCTGTCTCAATTCGTTTTTTCTTTACCCTCTCTCTCTCTGTTTCTCTCTCTGTCTCCCTCCCTCTCATTTTTTGGTTTTCTACCTCTCGCTCTCTTTCTGCTCCTCCTCGTCGTCTGTTCGGTCTTTGTTTCTTGTTTCAGTGGCAGTGTGCTTTGGGGTACACCGGTGACTGATATGCGAGAGGGTGCTGCGGGAGTTGTGCCACGCGGAATGAGAAAGCCTGTTTCTTCATCCCCGATTCTTGTTCCTTATGAATAACTCCTTTATTTCGCACCCCGAGACGTGTCGGTAGGGCGGGCTGGGCGTTTCGTCTGAGACTTCCTCCCCATCATGGTCCCGGAGCTAAGAGTTTGCAACAGCTTCATGGATGGAGGGCGGATCGTTGCCCACATGTGGCTCTCCCGTCAGTCGGCACGTTCGTTTTAACCGTTCGCAAGGGTTTCACGGCTTGTGGGCGACTCTTGTTCAAAATGTGGTTTCCAATGTGGCGGAGCGCGTATTCGTGTTCACAGCTTGCAAGAGCTTCACGGGTGGAGGCGGGCGGTTTTTCAATGTGGTGTTCGCCTTAGCGCCGCGCGTATTCGTCTTAACGGCTTGCCTGTAGGGCGGGCGTTTTTCAAAATATGCCCCCCGCCTCGGCACAGCGCACATCCTTTTTTCAAAGTTTAGAAGAGCTTCGCGGATGGAGGGAGGGTCATTTTCAAAATGGGGTTCTCGCCTTGGCACCGCCGCGTGCACTCGTGTGTTAACAGTTTGCAAGAGCTTCACGGATGAAGGGCGGGCGTTTTCAACATGTTGATATCGCCTTAGCTCCGCGCACGTTCGTCTTACAAGTTTGCAAGGCTTTCATGGGTGGAGGGTGGGCTGTTTTGAAGATGTTGTTCTCGCCTCGCGCCGCGCGCGTTCGTTGCACGAGTTTCACGGATGGAGGGGGGCTCTGGGTCAACATGTTATTCTCGTTTTGGCGGAGCACGCATTCGTTTTGACAGTTTGCGGGGGCTTCCCAGATGGAGGGCGGGTGGTTTTTGCAATGTGGTTTTCGCCTTAACGCCGCGCGCAGTCGTCGTAACACTTTGCAAGAGCTCCACGGATGCAAGGTGTCTCTCGCCATGGCGCCGCGCACATTCGTCTTAACGGTTTAGAAGCTATTCGTGGATGGAGGGCGGCTCATTCTCAACATGTGGTTCTCGCCTTGGCGCCGTGCGCGTTCGTTCTAAAAGCTTGCGGTGGCTTCACGGATGGAGGACTGTCGCCCCATTTCGCGGGGGTGGCCTCGAGTGGTTTCGGCGCACCTCGGGCGACTCACACAAAGCCCCCGTTTCAGCGCTTTCCTTCTACTAACAGTTTTTCCTTCGACTTGCGTTGCCTTGCTAGGCTGTTTCCCCCCCTCGTCTTTTCCTCTGTCTTCCGCTCCGCTTTTCTTTGTTGCTTCTGCTTTTACTCTGTTAGGTCTGCGCTGTCTCACGCGCTGCGCTGACTGGGGTCGCGCGCGTCTCTCGGCTCCTCCCTCCTGTGGCGCCTCCTGGTTTTGGCATGGGCTTTGTTTGTTCTGGATGGGGCCAGGGTTCAAAGCGACCGACGGTGGGTCGGCGGAATTGTGGTGGCGACGTTGCCCTCCTCTTTTTGTCCCCGCCCTGTTCTCTTCTCTCCCTCGTCCTCCTGCTTCTTCGTCCTTGTGTCGTTTCCCGCGCTTGCATTCCAGACGCTCCTCAATCGCACGTGATGGCGCAGCCTTGCTGTGGTGATCCTCTATGCTTTTGACCCGCTGAGTCGTCTCTGCGTTGCGGGAAAAAATCAAATTTTGGCTGTCGCCATAGCGCCGCGCACATTCGTTTTAAACATTTGTGGCAGCTTGTCGGGTGGAGGGCGGCTTTTTTTTTCACATGTGGTTCTCGCTTTAGCTCCGCGCGCATTCGCCTTGAAGTTTGCAAAAGCTTGACGGATGGACGGCAGTTTCTTTTCAAAAGGTGGCTCTCGTGAGGGCGCCTTGGGCATTTCTGTTCAGCATTCGGACTCGCCTCAGCGCCGCGCACATATTCATCTTCACCGCTTGCATGAGCTTCAAGGATGGAAGGCGGTGTCTTTTTTTCAACATGGGTTTTTCTCTCCGGAGCGCCGCGCACGTTTGCAGCAAACCTTTGCGCGAGCTCCACGGGTGGAGGGTGCCTCCTTTTCAAAATGTGGCTCTTGTCTTAGGGTTTAGGGTTTAGGGTTTAGGGTTTAGGGTTTAGGGTTTAGGGTTTAGTGCCGAGTGCCTTCTTTAAAACAATCTGCAGGTGTCTCACGGATGGAGGGCGGCTCCTTTTCAAAATGTGGGTCTCGCCCCGCCCGCCGTTCGAATCGGTTTCCCAAAACTTACAGGCAGGTCAACGGATTCTGATGGCTGGCGTCCCAGGAGTGGTGTTCCGACGCGAGACAGGAGTCCCAGGGCGCAGCAGTCACGTTGATTCGCGGTGTTGAACTCCTAGGAACGGCGTCCTGGCACGATGCAGGATCGCCAGGGCGCAGCAGGAAAGTTGGTTCGTGGCGTTGGAGTCCAACGATTTGAGTTTTGGCACGGTGGGGGATTCTCAAACGGTTGTCTTCCAACGGGACATTGCCAGCAGTGATAACCAATTCTTGTAGGGACCGACGAAGGGGGAATTTGGATGGAGGGTTTATTGCAACATCGTTCATGCGTCTTGGGTTTGCACTGGTCCTGCTCGTCCTCCTCCTCCTCCTCCTCCTCCTCCTCCTGCTCCTTCTCTTCCTTTCCCCTCCCTCCCCTCCCGTCTCCGAAATATTCCACAGAGGCGAGCGCCGCCGCGCAGCCAGCGTCGCAGCAGCCCTTCCCCCCGTCGATGCGCTCGTACCTGGCGGCGCGCGGCTGCCTGGACGCGGTGGACCCCGGGCTGGGCTGCCAGGACCCTGGAGGGCAGACCAAGCGCGTGAGCGCCCGCCGCCGCGGACTGGAGCGAGGGGCTGCGAGGGCGGTGGCATGACCTCTCCGCTTGGCCCCCCCGTGTGGTCTCTGGGCAGCTCTGAGGTCCAAGTTCCGAGTTTCGAGGTTTTCGGGCATTTTCGTTGGTTCTCGGCGGGTTTCCAGCCTGGGGGTGCATTCCAGCAGGTGCGCCTCGCCGAGAGCGCTCTGAGGGTAACGGCCGCCGGAGGCCCGAGTTATGGTCCCCAAACCACCAGGGGCAACGGTTGGGGGGTATGCCGTGCCCACCCTCTCCTCGCACGCTCATGGAATGGGGGGCGCGGACGTTCGGCAGCGCCTCGCTTTGGTGCAGGGCGAGCCGCCGAGGGCGCCTCGCCCGCGGGGGTAACCGAAGGGTTGGCCCCCCCTCGCCCTCGGCAGCAGGTTGGCGGGCCGGCCTGCGGAAGGCTGGCGGAGGCAAGAGGAGGGCCGCTTCGCCAGCGGCGGCCGCAGAAGCTCGGCGGAGGCCCACCCGCTTCAGAGTGTCATTTCGGCGGAATGACTTTTGGTGCGGGCCCAACAGCGTCTTCCGATCGCTGAGGGAGAGGGTGTAGCAGCGGCTTGCGCGCCTGGGTTGTTGACCTGTCTGGGTGGGCTCGGCATGCGAGGAGGGGTCTTCAGCGGCGGCGGGGTTCTCTTCTCTCCTCTGTTCCCACTTTCTGTTCATTTCCTCGTTCGTCCTCCCAAAGGGGTGGACGCTCTGATGCTGCAGGGAGGGGATTTCGTGTGTGTGTGTGTGTGTGTGTGTTTTGCCCGCCCCTCCCTCGAGCCCGGCTTCCCTGGGGATGGCGTTTGGGGGTCTGGAAGGCTGCAATCCGCTTCCCTTCTGGGGGGTGTCCCTGGCGTTCAGGTTCCGTCGCTCCCCACCTTGGTCGCCAGCAGGGTTGGCCTGCAGGTGCCCCAGGCCTCTTCTTACGCCGCGCACCAAATGTCCCTCGTGCCTACGTAGGGTCACTCTTACGTGTAGCCGAACAGACGGCAGACCCCCAGGCGCTGGCGGCGGAGAGCTCAGCCAGGTTCTGTCACCCTCGGGATGCTGGAGCGTCGGCACTTCGGGGGGGAACGCGTCGATCTCGGGCCCGAGTGGGGGCCTCGGAGGGGCCAGAGGCCCGCACGCGTGTGCGTTCCTTCTTGCCGCCCTCCCTCCCCTGCATCTTTCAGGGGGGCGGTTTTCGAAGGGTGGTCGGTTCGAGGGGGGTCGGCCTTCGAAAATACCAGAGAAACTCTGCCATACAGCCCAGGAGTAACACGCCCACTCCGGGCAGGCAGCGTGGCCTATGGCGCGAGCGCGCCTCGCTTGCCCCTCTGTCCTCTCCGCTCTCCTACGTGTTGTCCCCCCTCCACCTCCCCCTCCCTCTCACCTCCGCCGCCTCAGGCCCAGGTCCTCGTCTTCCTCGTCCTCCGCGACCTCCTCGTCCTCCTCGTTGTCGTCGTCGTCGTCCTCCTCCTCCTCTTCCTCCTCCTCCTCCTCCTCCTCCTTCTCTTCCTCCCCCTCTTTCCTGCCTCCCTCCCTCCCTCCCGCCCTCCTCCTCTTCCTCCTCCACTTCCTCCTCCTCCTCCTGCTCCTCCTCCTCCTCCTCCTCCTCCTCCTTCTCTCCTCCCCCTCTTTCCTGCCTCCCTCCCTCCTCCCTCCCTCCCCCCCTCCTCCTCTTCCTCCTCCTTTTCCTCCTCCTCCTTCTCCTCCTCTTCCTCCATTATCTACTGGCCTTCGGCCCATGCTGCCACTGTGCTTGGGTTGTGGGGATAAAGCCTACTTGATGTTCGTTCGGATCTCGTGGGAGGCTTCTCGGGGGCCTCTTGGAGGCAGATTGACAAGTCTTCGGGGCCGTTTGGGGGCCTCTTTCGGGCCTCTTGTGCGCCTCTTGGGACCTCTTGGGGACCTCTTGGGGGCCTCTTCGGGCCTCCTGGGCGCCTTTTGGGGCTTCCTGGGGGCCTCTTGGGGCGGAAGGCTTGGATTTTCGGTTCGTTTTCCCTCTTGTGGCCCCTTTTGGGGTCGTCTTGGAGCCATCCTGGGCCGCTTAGGGCGCCTCTTGGGCTGTCTTGGGGTCCTCTCGGGCCGTTTTGGGGCCCTCTTGGAAGCCTCTTGGGCTGTCTTGGGCCGGTCTTGGGGGCTCGGGGGCCGTCTGGGAACGTCGCGGGAAGCCGATAAGGCAATAACGCCAAACTCTTTCAATAACCGAAGGGACATCAATATTTTGGCTTCTTAGGGCCCTCTTGGGAGGCCCCTTGGAGGCCTCTTGGGCCGTCTGGTGGCCCCCTTGAGCTTCTTGGGGCGATCGTTCGGCGACTCGCGGCCCTCTTGGACCGTCTTGGGGGCTTCTTGGGGCTCTCTGGGCCCGTCTTGGGGCCTTCTTGGGCCCGAAAAATTCGCGCGACAACACTCGGCGGAGTCCAGGAGAGCCGCGACAACCCCCAGGAGATTTGGGCCAAGGGGCTCCGAACATTTTGAAGACTCCGCAAGAGTGAGGACTGAGGTTTCGAGGGGTAGTGCGCGGACCTGAGGACACGCCCACTCCGTACCCAGCGGCACGGTGTCGGATTTTCCTTTCTGAATAGTTTCTCCCTGTCGCACCCCGAGGCCAGTCGGAAGGGCAGGCCAGGCGTTTCGCTTGAGACTTCCCCGCCATTTATGACCCTGAAGCTTTATATTTGCATCAGTTTCACGGATGGAGGGCGGGTCGCTTTGAAAATGTTGCCCTCGCCGTAGCGCCGCGCATATCCGTTGTAACATGTTGTAAGAGCTTCACGGATGAACGGCGGGTCGTTTTCAAAATGAGGCTCTCGCTGTAGCACCGCGCGCATTCGCCATCACACATTGCAAGGAGTTTCACGCGTGGAGGGCGGGCCGTTTTCAAAATGTGGCTCTCGCCGTAGCGCTGCGCACATTCGTCATACATAATTGCAAGAGTTTCGCAGATGGAGGGCGGTTACTTTTCAAAAGGTGGATCTCGCCTAAGCGCCGCATGTATTCGTGATTTTGCATCAGTTCCAATCGTTATCATGGTTAACGCCCCAGAAGTGGTGTTTTGGCACGATGTCGGATTGCCAGGGCGCAACAGTTACGTTGATTCGTGGTGATGTAGTCCTAGGACTGGTGTTCTGGCACGATTCAGGATCGCCACGACGCAACAGTAACTGTGCTTCTCGGCTTTGACGTCCCAGGGATGGTGTTCTGGCACAGTTCAGGATGTTCGGACGGTTGTTTTCTAAGGGGGCACTTCCGTCAGTTAAAATGAACCCTTGTATGGGGCCTCCGACGAGGGATCTTGGGGGGAGGGCTGATTGCGATATCGTTGACGAGACTTGGGTTTACACTGGTCCTCCTCATCCTCCTCTTCCTCCTCCTCCTCCTCCTCCTCCCCCCCTCCTCCTCCTCCTCCTCCTCCTCCTCCCTCCTCTCCTCCTCTCCTCCTCCTCCTCCTCTCCTCCTCCTCCTCCTCCTCCTCCTCCTCCCTCCTCCTCCTCCTCCTCCTCCTCCTCTTCCTCCTCCTCCTCCTCCTCCTCTTCCCCCTCCCTCCCCCCCTCCCCCCGCCGGGCTGCCAGGACCCGCCCTACATGCGCCCGCTGCTCAAGCCCTCGCCTTCTGACCCCACGCTCGTCTCCAGCTACGGTGACCTGGCCGCGCACCTGCGGCCCCCGTACCACCACCTCCTGGAAAGGCCCTCGCGCGCCCCTGCCCTGGGCCCTCGCCCTTGCCTCCCCCTTCTCTTCCCCATCCTCCTCCGCTGCCCCTCCCTCTCCCTCTTCTCCCTCTCCTGCTTCTGTCGCCTCCCCCCCCGCCCCCTCCTCCCCCCCCTCCTGCTCCTTTCGGTTCCCCTCCTCCCTCGCCTCCCTTTCTGCCTCTCTTGCCTCTTTCCCTTCCCCTCCTTCCCATCCTACTCCTTCCCTTTCCTCCCCCTCTCCTGCTCATCCTCCACCTCCTCCCCCCTCCCCTTTCTCCGTCTCGGCAGTTCTTTGTCCTTTGTCCTCTTACGATCTCTCATCGTGTTGTTTACAAGTTTGAAGGCAGGGGGGCGATTGGTTTCCAAAGTCTGGTTCCCGCTGTGGTGTTCCTTTAACTATGTTGCCCCAACGCTTGTAGTTTCCAAAGGGTGCACGGATGAAGGGCTAGTCGTTTTCAACGTCTGGCTCTCGCTTCAGTTGTCTGCAGAGCCGGCGCCTGCGCATCAAGACGGCCATATGGAACTCGACCGCCAAGACAGATCTCCTCCCTCATTCATTTCGTTTTCATGGTGCGTCGGCGAACGGTCGTAACATTTTTGCCCTCGCTCATTCCTGAAGGCTTTGACCGCGTGGCCCTGCATGATTCAATGTCGTCGTCTCCTTTCGACCTCCTCAGGTGTGTGTGTGTGTGTTGCGTGGGGGGTGGCTTCGTGCTTGTCCATGCGCCGTTCAATGTGTGGTATGCTATTGTACCGCCCCTGCCGTCTGTGTGTGTGTGTGTGTTGCGTGGGGGGTGGCTTCGTGTTTGTCCATGCGCCGTTCAATGTGTGGTATGCTATTGTCCCGCCCCTGCCGTCTTTCTGGGGACGTCTGGGGGCTTCGCGCTTGCTTTTTTATCGTCAGATATCCGCGCGCGTGGATTGTCGACTTCATCGCAGCCGCCATACTTGATGGTCCTGCAGTTCTCCTATGCCCGATCGTCGCACAGTCTCGCGGATACACAGCAGGCGGTCTCCAAACTTTGCGATCGCCAACGATTGCGCGCGAGCACCAGCATGTATGTGGGGGGGTCCAGGCCCCCGCCCCCACACGTACGATCGCACCGTTGCCGGGGGGGGGGGGGGGGGGCTTGGCCCGGGTAGCGACCGTGACGCGCCAGAGGGTCGAACAACAGTCTCGTGTATGTGTACCGATGGCGTCCTCCCACTCCCACTCCCCCGCCCTTCCTCCCTCCCTCCCTGCAGAGGCTGTACTCCGACAAGGGCAGCTCGCCGCCGGGCAGCAGCGGGGGCCCCGCCGCCCGTGGCCCGAGACCCCCCAGGGTGCCGCCGCCAGGCTCCTCCCCCTCCTCCTTCTCCTCCTCCTCCTCCTCCTCCTCCTTCTCCTCCTCCTCCTCCTCCTCCTCCTCCTTCTCCTCCTCCTCCTCCTCTTCTTCCTCCTCCTCGTCCTCCTCCTCCCCCTCCTCCTCTCCCCTCCTCTCCTCTCCCCTCCCCTCCCGTCCTCTCCTCCCCTCCCCTGCCGTCTCGGGTCGAAGCGGGGTTTTCTACGGCGCGGAGCTTCTGGCTTCGTTTGGGCCTGGCTGGCGGGCAGCGACGGCTCGCTAGAATCCCGTGCAGTATAAAGCGGCCAAGCTGCTGCTGGGCTTGGGGGGGCAGGTGTCCTTGGGGACGGGTGGGTACGCGCGGGCGCTGGCCGAGACGAGGATGCTAACGCGCTGGGGCGCCAAGCTTGCCGCCAATCCGGTCGCACCTGTGGTGGCTGGTTCCCGGCTGGTCAGGGGCGCGACGTGGCTCGACCACGCGGCGGAGGTGACAGAGCACATGCAGGTGCGTTCCGATTTTTCTGCCGATCGGCTTAGCGAGGCTCAGCGTGCCTCTCCGCAGGCGCGGAAGCGGGCGGTTTCGCAGAGGAAGCACCAGGTCCTGATTTCAGCTGGCGCGCAGGAGCAGGCATGGTTTTTGCTCCAGTTGGCTGCCCTTTTTGAGGATGGCCTGACCCCGTATCGCGAGTTGCTGCCGCTGCGGCCGCCGCTGGCTCCGCGGCTCCGCTGGGCGCCGTTTGTGGCAAGTGTGTGGAGGTGCTTTCGGGCTTGGTCAGTGGCCCGGGTGACGGCGCGCGTGCCTGCGGAGGTGTGGT